AGAAATAATAGTAACATGCTAGATTATAGAAGTCCATAAGGAAATTTGCACAACTTCTGCTTTGTAGTGAACATAAGCAACATAAGAATCTGAAATACTCCACAGCAAAGAAGAACTTTTGGGCTAAACTAGAATAAAAATAGGCTAGTTCACATTTCTTTAGCAAGAAGAATATTTAGGCAACTTGGCAATGACTAGAGAACATGAAGGAAAACAACAAACCAGAACAACCCAAAGGCAACTAAGTGGAAACAATGAGAGAGAAGTTCTTATGATTATGATTATTACAGTGTTACCATATATAAGTAATTTTAATTTTCATGTCAGGGTTGTAATTACGTTTGAGAATTGTGGGAGCTAGCACACACACGACTGTGGCAAAATTCAGTGGTTTTCAAAGTTATGAGGAAGTCAGTTATCCTAAATAAGCACCTCATGGTTTAAGGTCATCTCAGTTAGAGACTAGGAACTGTGCTGTAGAAGAATAAATATCTTATTGTTCCTCCATACTGTGTTACTGCACAAAGAGAACTTGTCCCCTCCTTCCTCTGACCAAACAGGACTGTCTGGGTGTGCGTTTGTGTCAACATGCACACAGGAGACCTTAATGCCAACAAGTGTTCAAGATGCTGCTGCAGCTGATACAAGAACTTGCCATAAATCGCTGGGATTGCATTCCACAAATTTCTTCAGAACAATCAAGCTATGAAATAAAACTCTAAGGTATCTACCATTGTGTGGCCCTGGTCACAAATTTAATCCAGTAAACTATAGTTAGAAGGCTACTGCTGTTCATTTTCTTGATTATTATCTATTTTTGTGGACACATATTATATAATGTGCTTAATACCATCTGTCCCATATACATTTTTGATGATCAGAAGTTGTTGCTAAAGTGTTTTGCAATTTATTTCCTTTTGAATTTGCAGATTTATATAAAGCACATCATAATCGAACATAATGACAGGAAAAACAACATAAATCTAAAAATCTTATCCTACTTTAATCTTGCCAACTTAAAACTCAAAACCTTGGAGATAGTTGTTGTTTACAGAGTCTTAACAGAACAATCTCTCAGACTGAGGGGATTAAATCAGTAAGTCTTGATCTCTGTGCCAGATGTCAGCTATTTATTTATTTGAAGTGTAAGCACAATAACACTGACAGATTTAAGCTTTTGTTGCTCCAAGACAGCTATATCTTGCCAAGCCCCAACACCCTCACTTCATGTGAAGGCTATTTAGCTTATAAGTGAAGAAGAAGCATGCATGAATGGAACTGGACATTTTATAAGGAATGGAAGAATCCTTCTTTGTTGATTCCCATTTTGGTATTTATGGACTATCACTAATAATTCAGGTATATCACCCTTAAGTGGCATTTGGGCTCTTGAGTAACTCTGTTCTCTGTGTAGCTGGGTCTGAGGTACCCATCACCAAATTTATAATACAAAGATATGTCTATAGAACTGCTTCTAACATACCCACACCAGAACATGTCACTTTTCTCTACAGTAAACCCCAGTGTGAAAGTGTTCATTTCTACTGTCTTTCTTGCACATTTGCTTCATGCTCTGGGGTCTTTGCCAAGGTTTTTGATCCTGATGGGTCAGAATCTATTCTGGTTAGTTGCTCTTCAAGCTCTACTTTTCTCTTTCTAATTCTGCTTTAACAATTAATTGGCCAACTGTGTAATGCTTTTTCTAGTTCATTTGGATACAGTCCAGGTTTGGAGGTTTGATCTCTCATTTCTAGTAATCTTCATGTTGATTTGCTGCAATGCTCCTGAAAGCCATTCCTAATAGATTACAGGCACTGGTACTGCCTGATCAGTATGTCTCCAAAGTATGAAAAATTCACTTTTTATATACCTTTTATCTTCTATTACAGAAGTAAGAAATCTTTTTTTATTTTTGCCCTCTTTTAAGTTGGCAAAGCTGTGGTGCCTGTTTTTGGTCTTTTCTGACATCTGGCAGGGGTGTCTACCAAGAACATACCCACCCTTGGCATGGATGCAGAGCTATTGCTATTTTGTCCCCTCTTTGGAAGGAGCAATGGGAGTCAACACAGATGTTCTGCACAACCTCCACAATGAATGTTCAAGGGAAAACAGAACATTGAAGCTATAAACTTACCTGAGCAAGACTGCAATGGTCTGAATTTACAGTAATGAGAAGTTTTAATTTGATACCAGAAGCTGCAAGGAACAGATGAGGTCACGTTTTGGCTAACAAATGTAATGTGCACTGCTGCTCTTAGGAGGCACTTGTCTAGGACTAAGGTCATTACTGTTATTTATAGTAAGAAAATCACTAGCAAAAAAAAAACCAACCCAACACCAAAGCAATGCACAACAGCAATTTACAGAATTATAAAATAGCAAATAAACCGATAAATAGTCTGGATACTTGGGCGGGGGTGGGTGGTGGGAAATAAATTTTCTTAAAAGGCCATCTTTTTTACTCATTAATGACTATTTATTTAGCATATGTAAACCAGAAAATTTCTATTTTTAATTATCTTAGCTTTGTGCTACCAATTCTGGGTTTTTTCCTTTGTTTTGCCCCTTCTATAAATCATATTGCCCAGTAAACAAGTGTACTACATAAGTATAGGAAATATATATACTCATCTTGGTAAATTATTTTTAAGAGGAATTTCATTTGAGCCTTATTTCAAGCTCGGGGTACTGTTTATCCTGAATATTGATTTGAACACAGATAAATCAAAGATATTAATTTTGGCATATTTCCACTTGAGATGCAAAATTTTCTTATATATCTCTGCATAAGAAAGCTAAAAAAATTGCACAATACCATCTAACTCTGTGCTACTCCTAGGCCTTCTCCCAAGCTATCCTAGACTGATCTGAAAGTCTGAAGGACAAAAGTTGTTAGAGAAACAGTGCATTCTGAGTACCACTCTACACCAACCTCTCCTAATACTTACCAAGAATTTGTACAGGGAAAAGGATCTCAGGGTCGATATATATAGTCTTATATGAATATTAGCAAATAAAGAGAGCCTTTTGTCCCTTTATGCTGATGTTGTCCTTTCATAAGGAGTCAGGCTTGCAACTTCTATTTTAATTTTTCTTTAAAAGTACTAAGACTCAGGTCTTCAATATTTAATACTTTTTTATTTTTTCATTGATTCTCAGTGTTCAGAGTTTATCTTCAACTTTTTATACCATATACCCTCTTTATATTTTGTGAGTGAGAAAGGAAATGGAGAATTTCAAGACAGGACTAATAGTTCGTGCTGACTAGAGATAAATATGCATTTTGAACAACTTCAAAATATAATGAACCAACAAAGAGCTCTAGAAAAGAAAGAAAATCAGGGTATTTTCATCCAACACCAACAATCAAATAACTATATTTGATCCTGTAACAATCTGCACTGTTCCCTCAATAGTCACGCTTGGCTATTCACAACTCATGCACATCTACTTCACCACTATTTTATTTATCAGAATGAAGGCAAGTGAGGAGAATAATCTATGAAATAATAAAATATCCTTGGGAAAAAAATCAAACCAGAGAATAAGATTCTGGGTTTCTGTTTTGTGATAATACACCTTCAGAAATGATTTCATGGCTTTATTTGAAAAATGGATATAATCCAAGTGAAGAGATACAATTCCTCTTTCTCTGCTGCCAGAAACACATTATCCTTTTAAATAGGAAAGAGCATCTTTTTCTTTTCTTCCTATCCTCACAGAGGGGAAAAAGAGGGGAAAAAAGAGAGAGCAGAGAGTAATACCCCTCCTTTCCCTTTGCAAATGGTGATTCTTCTGTCAATACTACAACATACAGTTGCATCAGTATCAACGTTATTTTCTTAGCTTCTCAAACAATTCCTGCATTTCATATTATTTTTCTACAATTATGACAGTTGAAATGGAACATATGAAGTTTTTCCGAGTCCCCTTCACACATTTAGTATGCTATAGGCATAACAGGCTCAAAAAAGAATGAAAAGTAAACAACACAAAAACTTCCCCAAAGCCTTGCAAATGAGCTGTGGCTGCATCAGAAGCCCACGTTGGAGCAGACTCCTGGCCTTTGGACACATGGAGAGAGAAGCTTATGCTGGACATGGTTAGCTGTCAGGACTTGTGCCCCCACAGGGGAACCCAACTAGAGCAGTCTGGCTACTGGAACTTAAAGGCCAGTTGTAGTTTTATGGTAAAAACACCACAGCTGCCTTTGAGAGATCTAGGATTATATTCATACTTTTTCACTGCTTGCTGCGTGGCCCTCGGTTAAGTCATCTTTGTGTTTCAACTTGACAGGTTTAATGGAATATCTAACAGTGGTATGTTATAAAGCTAACAGTGACTTGATAGAAGGCAACAGTACAAGCACAGCTCCCCACCCTGTTTTAGGATTAGGCAGCATGAAGTCTACTGACAAAATTGGGGGGGCTGATAACAGTAACTTACGGGACAGAAAGAAGAAGTCATGCTTGAATATCTTGTTTTCCATCACAGAAGTGTGAGTCATAGAGAAAGCAGGGAGTATCTCATTCAGTGAATCCTGACTTTTTACTGCTAAAAATCTTTTTGTTGACAGAGCTTGTAAATCTTGAGTTCTGGGAAGAACCTTACACATTTGAAGAGGGTCACCATTACAAATGAGGCATTTAGCATTTTCAGAATTTGTGTAATACTTAGCTAAGAACTATTGATTAAAAATTTGAATAGGCAGCCAATTTTACACATTTCCAAACTACAAGTGTTTAACTAAAAAAACCACCATTCTGTTGCTTCAAATACATGAGGGTTTTGTGCTCATCTGGAAAAAACAGTTTGATATCCCACCTGCATCACTGAGACTTATGGGTGTTTTACTCTGCTTTATTGACAGGATTAGGTTTTCAGCAAGGCTTACACTGTATTGTTTGCAAACCAGACATAGCAAGAACACATTCTTCCCAAGGAAGAGTAGTAAATAGGCAATGTTTCAGTTCACTTCTTCAGAGAAAGGCATGACTTACCTTGTGGAAGTTCCTGAAATATGCTGCCTTCTCATCTGGAAATTTTTCTAGCCTCCTGGGTCCTTTACTGGAAGCCTTCTTGAAAACCAACCAACAACGTCTAAAAATCTGTGAACAAAACCAATGGATGCTATTAGTATTTCTTTAAAGGTGGACAGTATTACAAATGTATTCAGTTACATGACTGACTTAGGAAGAAATTATAAAATGACAGTATTTTACTTTAAGAGTAAAATTTGCATTTCAAAGAGAAGCTGATTAATGATAATCCTCTAGACTATATTACGCAAGAAAAAGATTAGATGTCAATCTAGTTTTACAATTTATGACAGCAGTTTACTTCACTCTTCTCTCCAGTACTTGGACAGCTCTATAAACAATACCATGTGCAATTTTATGTTATTAATTCAAGGATACATTGAAAAAAGTCCCAAACCCAATACTACTCAGTGATTCCACTGCCCTTATGTGAAGAGCCTTAATTCAGTAAAAATTCTACAAAATTTTATGACACAGCACAAGAAATACAGTACTGTTAAATTTGGATCAACCATAGCTCCCATTACCAAAAAACTAAGTAATTAAAAAACCCAAGGTAATTAGTGTAGGAAGAGTTTCCCCCTCAGTCTGCTGTCTAAACTGAATACAAGCAGAAAATGTAGTGTCATTAAAATAATTAGGCTTAATTAATGACATTATGACATAATACTACTGACACTATCCTGCTGCCACTATCTAAGATGAATGTTATCAGTTAAAGTAAGTGATTTCTTTTAAAACCCTACCATTGGGCTACAGTATCAATATGTTTAATTATGAAGACTTTTAGAAGAAAACATGGTGTATAATTAAATCCTCTGCAAGTATATGTATTACAAAGTGTAGAACTTTTAAGCTTTTTCTACTAAGGTTGTAAAGTGGCAACTGTACAACTGTACTTTCTATCTCAGAAATTACTTCACCTATCCTGAGGGAAAGCAAAGACAATATCATACTTCCTGAAAAAAATGACATTACACTTTGGGACATCATAAACCATCTTTATTAGATAGTACTTTTTTCAAATAACATCTTGGCAGCGTTGAAACTTGACTTTATCAAAACTACAGCACTGCTCCCACAGCTATTCCTTGATTAAACACATTAGTTCTACACAATTTTGTAGCGTGAAAAGCTCCACACACAAAGATATAGAATATTCACACTATTTTGACCTTACTAAAAAACAGCAGTACTAACTGTCTGAAAGGGACATATTTATTTATTTAGTAAAAGTGTCACTTTTAATAATACTTCTGGCTCTTCTGGGATCCTGGTTGTTTGGTTTTTTTTAGTATATGTGTAGTTTCAGTTCAGTTCTCTTCCTCTGAGGAAAGTCTTTTCCTAGGAAGTGCTTTATCAAGGTGAACACAACTATCTTAATTTCAAATGTTTTTTTCAATTTCCTTATTTTCATTGTATGCCTTTAATGTCTTACAGTCCTCAAAAAATTATCTTTAGAAAAGCCAGACCAACCCAAGTCATCATCTTGGTGGTGGGTTTTAGCATAGTCATGGAATCTGCGTTTTGCAGATGACCTGAATTTTTGACAGCTGGCGACAATGAAACTGATAATTTGTGTTGATTAACAGAAGGTTTTCAAAGGTTGGTGGAGTTTTTTTTAGTTTGTTCGTGGTTTTTAAAATATATCTTTATATGTGTATATATGCATATATGGGAGACTCATATTTTGTTGCAATGAGAAGTATCAGTTAGATCCAGTACATTAGAAATATTCCTAAAAAAGGGCAAACTAGACATCCCAATCATGGAGCCAGACCTCTCCCTGTGAGGACGAGAACATTTTCTAGATCAAAGGTCATCTAATGCATACTCCAAAGCACTTCCTTTAGTGACAAATGAGCAGGTTCAGACAAATGATGGCTTCAGTCTTTTTTTCACTGGATATCAATTTGGGACAGTGTGAAAGTGAGTTTGAGGTTTTGCAGATAACCTGATGAAATTCTAGAGGAAGGGTTAGACCTCCTTATTACTGGGAACTACCATCAAATACCAGGGCTTGATGCTAGTTATCTTTAAGGATGCTCATCAGGCCTTCGCACACATTTCAGAACCAAGATGAATTCATAGGCTTCAGCACACAGACAAAGGCAGAAATGAACAGCCTTTGCTTTTAGAGAAGACTGAATAGCAAGAGGAGAGAAACATAAGTTTGTCCTTTAGACAGCAAGTGCTACAATTTATTGGCATCTGTTTTTTCCAGACCTTTAAGAAGAGGAGAGATCTGAAGAATTAAATGGCCCAAAGAGGACTCCTGATATTCTATGTACTTATGCCAAGATACATCCTTGAATTTGGATTTTATTTTTTTTGCAATCTAATTTTAAAACTGGTATAAACATGTACAGTTCCATTGCATTTCAGCAGCATTCTACCTTATTATGCCAACAGACATTTTGTATCTTAGTGCTTGAAAAAGCATTAGCATTTGAATTTACCTATAAATATGAATAAATAGGTGCAGATGTGAGCACACAGCAAACAAACATTTGCCTTTCATAAGGCACCTCATTGTTATACAGAAGCCTAGTCAATTATTCACGAACTGTGAGATACTCTTTTATCCCTGGCCTACTTTAGGATGCCATTGGCTGTAATCAAAACTTCTGAAAGACTTCTAAAGTCCTCAGATAATTGGGGAAGCCATTGTGAGAGAAATCAGCATCAGCCCTTCCAGAACTGAGAGAATTAGAAACATTTGCTGTGTTGTCTCCACAATACTTAGTATTTCCTGTGAGACTGTTTTCCACATGTGCTTAGTTGAAGAAATGCCAAATATTTGATAATTTAATCAGGGTTACATCCTCGGATGAGCACTCAACTGTTCAACAACAATGATTTTAAAATTTTGTATCAAGGGCAAACAACACCAAGTCTGCCCCATGTCATTGCATTTTTACTGGAGAAATTCAGGAAGATGGCATTAAGTACATGCTGGGTTTAGGTCTTCTTTTATGATTGTATCAATTAGAAAAAACTTGCTCATTACCATCTTGAGAAGAATTCCATTGAAATTACCTGCAGAGACTTAGGCATAGCTGAACCTCTTTAAACAACACCCTTCCTATCTCAGCTTTACAAGATGAACAAAGAACAAAAAAAAAAAAATAAATTCTTCAGATTCTATTACCCAGGATGTTTTGCAATTATGTATCAGTAAGCCATGGCAATAACTCAGCACACTTGTGGTCTGGTGAGAACTGATTCGGTTGCCCCTTGTGATAGCACATGGGAATGATTTTGATTACAATGTACGAGCTTGGAGGGGAGAGGAGCCTCTCTTCTCAAGACAGACCCTGAGCAGCCTCGTCTTGTTACTGAGAGGATTCCAGAACCTGGAACAATATTACCTTATCACCCCCTCCCTCAAATGATTTCTGAAATCTTTCCAATTAGAAATTTGACTTCTAATGCTGATACATTTCTATTAATCTCCAGAGATCCTTTCTTTAATATTCTACTTGAAACACTGCAACAGATAAGTTAATTAGGAAATCTCTGCATAATCTTATTTTGATACTTTTTCTTCTGCTTAATATAGTACACTGCTCAGCTCATATTTCCATCATGATCATATTTTTTAATATTCTTGACTAATGTATGCAAAAATTTGGCCTCTGAATGGGCCATTACTTTTCATGATCACGTCATACAATTCTCTTTTATTGTTGCCATGGCTGTTCATAACAAATCCATTAAAATAAATATTGCAGGAAATCCACTGGCTAGACTTTTTTTCAGAGAGAAGGAAATATTTTCCTCTTTTCTAAAATAATTTAAAATAATTGGTTTATAGTGGAAATCTTATGTATGATTTTCCATTTTCCAGAGATTTCTAAGGCATTTTCCTAGTAATTTACAATAAATGCTTTTGAGATTCACATTTCTTTTCATCCACAGCTGTAGCAAATAAAGCTTTCCCAGTCATCACTAATATTTAGAGAAGGAACTTTTATTGACAACTTTCTACACATTACTCCAGAAATTTCACACTCAACCCAACAGAAAACAGAAACAAAAAAAAAAATCCCCCATGATTTTTTTTTAAATAAAGTTACAACACTATAAGCTTTTTTCCCAAATCACTTTAGGCGCTCTGAAATCTCCCTGCACCTATCCAAAGGACAGTACAAATGGCAGCTTTCTTGGGTATATTGGAAAACCATCTAATTTGCTGCTACTAGCTATAGAAACATTTGTCTCTTGAGAGAAACAGCAATGAGTCAGCTCCTAATTACTAACAGAAACCATCACTGACCAGGACAGGCACTGAAGCATCACTCATGGAGCTTTTTGCTAGCATAACCTATCAAATTTTCTCCCAGGAAGACAACAACATAATAATATTCCGTTCAGCATTTACATCTCATTATCTGCAGGAAAGGCTAGTTGATTTCTCATCCCTGACTTGCCATGTGCATTGCTCTGCTGTTTGACAAGACAACATCTGCAGTATATGCATTAAAAACACTAAAATATGAATGTGTTCAAGTTTACCTCACTAGTTTTCTCCATTAAAAATGGATATTTCTATGGGGTATGCTAGAGAAATGCAGTTTGCTGTGAGATTAAAAAATGTAGTTGCAACTTAAAAATACAGAATTCATAATGAGAAAAATAAAAATAGTTGTCACAGTAAAGTCATATTTAACCATTGTTTTGACACTCACCATTTTTTGATTCTGTGCATAATTTGGCTAAGGGAGAAGAGACAAGAGGTGACACCTTTCTGCTTCAATCAAACTACACTTGTCACACATTCAAGTAAAGCTTAGGAGAAATTGAAACAGAGTTATTATCTATAAAAAGGCCCAGGAGGAAAATGGAGATCTATACCTCAGCCTAAAGAACAAGTTACAGGATCTAAGCTACTGCTGAATCAATTCAACAGAAAAAAAAGCCTGAACTACAAACCAAAACACCTCATGGTTGCAATCCACTAACCTGAGCTACCAACATTTGAACAGCTCTGATTTTGCTGTCTACCTTTTTTTACAATAGAAATTAAATACAGTTCCCACTGCACTAATTAGGTGCATTTTGGGTGG